GGGCACCCTCGTGGGAAGCCTCATTCAGGCCGGAGTGGGCTGACGGGCCTCCTGTCCTCCCCGCCCTTGCCCTCAGTTACCGCATTACCATCGGCAACAAGACCTGTGTGTTCGAGAAGGAGAATGACCCCACGGTGCTGCGCGCGCCCTCCGCAGGGAAGCTGATTCAGTACACGGTGGAGGACGAGGGCCACGTCCAGGCTGGGGACAGCTATGCGGAGATGGAGGTGACACAGAGAAGCCCTCTGGGGCGGAGGGTGGGGGAGGCCCACCCGCCTGCCCTCACACTCGACCCCCTCCCCAAGAACGAGGCCCTGGCCTTGCCGCCATGTCCGTGGAGCCTGCAGGTTTTACTTTGGCCACTGTCTGCCAGCCCCTAAAGCAGAGCAATGTGTGTGTGTGTGTGTGTGTGAGCCCCAAACTCCCCTTCAGTCTTAGGGCACACGCCTCCCCAAGAACAAGCAAGAACTGATGAGTAATGGTGGTGGCCATGGGTAAGACCCTGCACCAAGCATTTTAACCTAGCTTTACTTCTCGCTCTCCCCAGCAGCTCTACGAGCTGGGTATAAATCTGATCCCCAGTTTTCACACATAAAAACCAGCTCCAGGCGGGCACAGGAAGTCACCTGAGGTCACACACAGCCGGGGTCCAAGCCCGGACTCCATGCCCCACTGCCAAGGAAGATAGTGGTGATAATAGTCACGGGAGTATAGGGACGCTAGTGGCTAACACTTATGCACCGCCTGCCCCGGAACCGGCTCTCCCTGTCTAATGCCAGAAGGGATACCTTCATTAGTCCCCAGCTTGCAGGCAGGGAAACTGAGGCAAGGAGAGGGGAGCGCACTTGCTAGAGACCACAGTGGTGATGGGGGGTGGCACTGCCGGGCTGCCTCTGTAGATACCAAGCCACGAACCGATGAGCCAGACTCTGCGTGACCCTGACTTCTGTCTCTCTAGGGAGCCCTGGTGGCCTGGCGGGGTCCATGTGGGCTACTAAGCACAAAGTCAGCCATTTGAAACCGCTAGCCACTCCAAGGGAGAAAGATGAGGCTTTCTACTCCTGTAAAGAATTACAGTTTCAGAAACCCGCAGGGTCAGTTCCACCCTGTCCTGGAGGATTGCTGATTTCGGGGTATTTTTTTTTTTCTTTCAATGAGTCTTTCTGTAGCCAGTTCCACGTAACAAAATATTCTCTCCAGACATGCAGAGAAGGGAAATGCAAGGGGGCCGAGGACTGTATCACACACAGCACCGTTTCACAAAACGCTTCCTCAGTGGAGAATCCGATCTAAGCCATCTGATTTGTTCACCACCTTATGGGAGGAGCATGCCACTCAGTCCCTCACTGCTCTGTGATCTGTTGCTCTCTCTGTCTGTGTGAGCAGGGGCTGACTTTGGAACAGATTAGTTTCCAAGTGGGGGAACGAAACGCCTCCCCCGGGGCTGGTTCCGAAGACGGAGCACATCCTGTGGGAGCTCCCGCCGGGCTCAGTTGAGGCCGTTCTTGCTCCGGAGACCCTGGCTGTGGGCCACCCTGGGTAGGACAGACCCAGACCTGGCCTTATCTCGTCTTTCTGCCCCACCCAGGTGATGAAGATGATCATGACCTTGAGCGTGCAGGAGAGCGGCAGTGTAAAGTACATCAAGCGTCCTGGGGCTGTGCTGGAGGCGGGCTGTGTGGTGGCCAGGCTGGAGCTCGATGACCCGTCCAAAGTGCACCCGGTAGGTGGGGTCCAGCCAGGTCCTTTTCCACTCATTCCCATGAGGGGCAGCGGCCGCCGTCCCCCGGCCGATCCTCTGCTTCGCCCACACCCTTCGCACCATGGGCAGCCTCGCAGCCTGCGTGCCTTCACCCCAACTCAGCCTAAAACCCAGGTCCTTCCCGCAGCCTGGCTGCTGCCGGGGGCAGGGTGGGGATGGACGCTGGCTGGGGATTGGGAAGCAATGCCCCCTGGTCCTGTGTCACCCTCCTGATTGGGCACAGATGGGACCTTTTGTGATTCCCTCGTGCTCTTTCATTGGCCTTTCTTCCGAGCCTGTGTAGAAGCTAGCCACCTGGAGGCCTCCCTCGTTCCCAAGACCAAGAAAGTCCTCTTTCCAAGTGCACTCACACCCGCAGACACAGGGTGGGGAGGATTTCCCACCCCTGTTTGGAGAAGGGGTGCCATTCCAGCCCCAGGAGGGCCCTAACCTGTGCACTGTGAAGCTGTAA